ATGTGCACTCTCTATTCCTGTCACTCTCATACTCTGGTGGGACGACCACTCGACACGACCATTGACTAGCGTTAAGGCGCAGGATCGACGGCTTTACGGGCTCTCCGAGGCACGGGGGTGAAACACCGCCAACTTCCCAACTCCGGGCTGTTACTGAGGCTTACTATACAGTAAGACTCAATAACTAAACTTGGCCTGACCCGGGACTCGAACCCAGGACCTCCGGGTGTGCAGCCGTACATGCTAGCCGCTACACCACCGAGACAGACATAAATATATATTTGTTGTATATTATATAAAAAAGAGTCTACTTGAGTCTTTTTTTTATAGAAACTAACTGCAGTGTTTTTTTAATTTAATGTGTCGATAGAGTTATTAGAGTTCCATATAATCGACGTAAAACGGACTTCATTAACTAAAGTTTGTCATGTCTTTTTAATTATACGTAAATAAATAAATTTTCACAAAAGCAAAAACGTGTGAGTTTTCTTCTCAGCAGAACTCTTATTTCTCTTAATAATACTGAAAATTGAGTCAAAGGTTTTCGTAAACGGTAAAAGTAAAATTGTACCAGTATCGTCACAAGCTGGCTAAAATAATAAAATCTAGTATTTCTTAAATTTAAATACTATTTTTTCTAGTCTGTGTATCTTTATCTTGTTCCATACAATTGTACCGCTGGCACTGCATCCGGCAACAGGAAGTTAGCTGAGCGTAAACTGCGAGGTTAATATTATATCATAAAATCTACATAAAGATTAGTGAAGAGATTCGTAGTAAGTGGAAGATACGATACGGAAGATTGGAATAGCTTTTATAAATTACCAAAATTTTCAAAGATTTCCTTCGGTATAAGACAGAATAAATTAATATAATAGAGAATGGTGTAAGTCTATCTATTTGTCACTTTTTAGAGCTAAAATGCTAAACTAATATGAATGAAGTAGAAGAAAAACACAGATCTAAGAGTTTAGAGATTCTAAATGTATACGTATTCTCGAAGATACCCTATATTAAATCCTAATTTGTATAAACTATAGCAATAAAAAAAATATTTTTCTTTTTATTTATTTAAAGTAATATGTATTATAGTATATTTTAAGCAAGTTATACATTTAAAATATTCTAAAAAAAACCTAAGCTTTCGATTCAATTTTCTTGTTAATGGCTTCAAAGTGTGCCAGTTGAGCATAAATGCAAATAAAAATTAAATCACAGATGCAAATCTAGTCAGACGTTGAGCTTAATTCATACAAGTCACCGCAGAGCTTTATAGAAGATCTCGAGATTTTCAAGTATTGCGCGAGGGCATGTTTCCAATGTAAAAAAATCGAGTGGGTCTGCGTCGGAGCACACAGCCGTTGGTTGTCTATTTCAGAGAATTGCTTTCAGTGTTTATGATTTTTTATAAATATTTTGCATATTTGAAAACAAATAAATTAGAATTTCAAAAAATGCTAAAACACGTATTTATTTAATTTTATTGAAGAGCATCAATACCAAGTTTCAAGTAATTCTGATCATAAATATTTTTTTGGATTGTGTTATAACGTGTTTTCCCGTGGGAATTAGATAATCTCCCACGGTAAAGAGTAGCCTATTTCACTCTCCAGCCCTCCAACTATCTTCACACAAAAAATCACGCCAATCCGTCTCTCCGTTTCGACGTGAAAGAAGTACAAACAAACATACAAACAAACTTTCACATTTATAATATTAGTATGAATTTATTTACAATATTATTTGTACCAACCGGGGTATACCTATACAGACAGTGCAATAAATCACTTAGTAGGTTTTGTTAGTACTAGAAATCGTAATTTAACTTTGTACTAAAATATATTTCTTCTACTAGCGGCTCACCCTTGCTTCGCTCGGGTTCGGTTCGCTCGGTCGGGAAAAGCACAAACAGAGCTATCCCACGGGAACCGTTCTTTTTGGCGATATAAAAAGTAACCTGTTGTTTCACTGGCAATATAAGGTATCAGCATGACAAATTTTACTAAATTAGGTGCATAAGTTGTTGTGTACTAAGCTGTATAAGTGACTATAGTTTTTTAACTATCCCACGGGAAGTCTTTAATTTTCCGGGATGAAAAGTATCTAAATGTTGACTGGAAATATAAGCTACCACCATGCAAAATTTCATTCAGATCGGTCCAACAGTTTCGGAAATTAGCCCGTATAAACAAAGAGACAAACCGACAGAAAAACAAAAATTGGAAAAAAAACTGGATTTGTTCTATTTTTCTTCCCACACCCCCCTGACTTGGTTTTTAGCATTTCTTTCTATGTACACTGTACAGACATTCGACCTCTACAGTTTTGTTATATATATACTCGTAGATATTAGGCTCAAACATAGATATAGACTAGGTAATATATTTATAGTTTTTAGATATACTGTATCGGGCGATACGTCATTCAGGATAATGGAAACACTCTGTTATTCTTAAGGTGAATAACAATATTCTATTTATCAGCCGGAGTAAGGGCCTGTAGCTAAGCAGCATTTCGCATAATAATTTAAAGATCTCGGGAAAATTGTTAGAAATATTTAATATAAAGTGTCTGTAATATGTTAAAGGAAGGTACTCGCGTGGTTCTTCGTTAGGATTAATTGTTGTTCTCATGGAGATAGAAACGATCGTACTATACCTACTGTAGGATTTATCACTCATGCTCTAAACTTAAACAGTATATGTAAGTAAATGATGCTTACTTTTGCACACTGATTGCATATTGCTATTAATGTGAAAGTTTGTTTGTGTGTGCGTTTGTATATTTCTTACTCCTTCATGTTGTAACCGCTGGATGGATTTTAATGAAATTCAAAATCTACATAGTCTGTTCTGGAGTAACGCAGTGTTAGATACCAAAAGACCTAAGCAAAGCGAAGATCTTTATGTTTTAATCTCATTACTATATAAATACGAAAGTTTGGATGGATGGATATTTGTTACTTTTTATCCCGGAAAAATGTACGGTTCCCGTGGGATAGAATTGTTTTTGTTTTTCACTAGGGATGAGCCCGAGCGAAGCAAGGGTGAGCCGAAAAAAATACAGCCAAATTGATTACCTCCTATTTAAAGTCGTCTTTATGAATTTTAAAATTAATAAGTATAAAATATAAATAGTATTATAAATATATTTCCTGATTTTCAAATCATAATAGAACATTTAAATAGATTCCATGACATTTAAAATGTTGAAAACATTTTTTATATAATATTTTCTGGACACTTAGAATGGATCGGGCACTCAAAATTTTGATAGAAATTTATTTTACAATGGAGTCGGAAGTAAGATAACGCATCGTCCGGATCCTCCTTTCCAAAGGAAACTTCATGTCAAATGTCTCTTGAAATAAAGCTCGGCCTACTGACCCACATAAATGTTGAGGAAAAGGACTGCGATTTATGTACTTGCAAAGCTTTTTTATTGTGTTTATAACGATGGCATTGGAATTTGCATAGAATTAAGAATTTTCTTATCTATTAGTACAGTTTCCTTCCTTTTCTTGTTTCCATATAGTTACTGCTGAGGTCGAGATTTTATATCCTTATAGTAGATAAAAGAATGTGTTTGTGTTTTTAATGCAAAAAAGATAATTAAAATATTATAATTTGTTTTTTTGTTGTTCTTTACATAGAGCACCTTATTTTGCTCTAGGGTACCTTTTTTGAGGATTTGATTTGTGATATTAGCTGACCTGGTTTGGTCAGAAAATTATAAAAAAATCTAGATCTTGATAGCAGCGCCACCTACCGGGACGAACTATGGTTAACCCACAAATACACGAAAAAGATTTCATCAAAATCAGTCAAGTCATTTAGGAAGAGAAGTACTACGAACACACGCACATCGGAATTTTAATTACGATAAGTAGTTGTATTAACTTCTTAATACATTTAAATACAATTATTATTTAATTTATTAAAAATATAATATTCGCAAATATTCGCATAATTTTTCAAAAGAATAATTTCTATTATTACGTAATGAATTTAAAACTAAGAAGATTTTCTACTTTGCATGACTTATAGACCAATTTCGCAACCTGTGAATATTAATTTAAGCGCACGTTATTTATAGCTTACCATTTATTACAAAAATGGATATCTTTAAGAATTGAACTCATATATTTCAAATTGTTAGATTGCAGTGCAAGTAGCGCAGAATTGTAATGGATATGTGCATAAGCATAGCTTTTGTAAGCTTTACAACAGACAACAGTCAAGGCTGCTTTAGATATATTAATCCCTCCACGACCGCGGACACACCGGCGTTACAGTTAACAATAGATTTCTTAGAAATTTAATTAATTTCTTAGAAATTTACCTGGAGGTGTTAAGGACTGAAGTTTATGCGCATAAAAATTAAATAGGTAAACATACTTGTCATGGATTATAATTAAGTGAAAGCGAGCCTGATGAAAATTATAAGCAGACCGTCATTTATTGTATACTGAATTTTGTACCTTCGTTATACAAGGACCATATTATCATCTATACTAATATTATAAAGAGGTAAAGTTTGTGAGGTTGTGCGTTTGTGACGTTGTAGGGGGTAATCTCTGTATCTACTAACCGATTTAGTTTAAATTTGATAAGAAGATAGTTTGAGACCACAGAAAGGACATAGGATATTTTTATCCTGGAAACCATCCCATAAGGGGGTGAAAATGGGGATGGAAGTTTGTATGGGGAATCAAGCTAGGGACGAACCCGAGCAAAGCGAGAGTGAGTCGCTAGTATGTAATATATCCCCCCCTCCTTATAGGTACCTTTTATTGCGAGTAGGAATACACAAAATGTGAAACTCAATTTCACAGCAGTATTCCGTCAAAAAGCAAGCGCGTATCGAAAGTAAATCGTAATAAAAATATTCAAAATTAAAATATTTTGAAATAAAAGTTAATATTTATAAATAAAGTTATTTATTAATAAATATTTTGAAATATTTGCTGAATCATCATAACTAATTTTTTTTCTTTTCAGGGCCCTATGAGGAAAAGTATGACAAGAACTTGATACAAATACGAACAGAGTTTGCTGTGAAAATCCAAGACAAATTAATAAAAAATCAGAGTTTATTAAAGGTAATTATTTTGACTTTTATATTTTTTACTGCTTAGATTGGTTTTACAGGATATTGTACTGCATGTTTTTTGCAATAAGTATAAGTTTTTTTTACTAATATTATAAAAAATGTAATGTTTGTAAGTTTGTATTTAGGCCGTAATCTCTGAAACTCCGAAATCTTCTCTAAATCTAGATCCGATTTTGAAAATACTTTCACTAATAGAAAGCTATAGTACTGCCGAATGATAAATGGTATTTTTTATTCCGATAAAAATAGATTCACTGTCCAATATTAAGTAATAATTGAAATTGGAAGGTAAGTGGCATTCGAGTTGTTTTTTATGGCTTGTATTGTCTATACAGTTTAAAAGTAACAAAATGTATGACAAAAAGACCTCGAAAGAAACGAGGGTAGGTCGCTTGTATCAAATAAATACATAGATATGGATAAACATTGTACGTACGTCTCTGTTTATACATCTTATGTATTGTAAGAAAAGTTATAGCGCTAAATACTTAATATTGGGTTCACACGGCAGTACCTACACTACACATTTTTTATTAATATTCGATTATAAACGTAGAATCAGCGAGATGTTCTAAAACCGATAAATCACAGATTTTCATCATCCCCAAATTAACTAGACGTTAATTTTACTAACCAAGTGTATCAGAAAGAAGTGTATAAGATGTATCATTAAATCTGATTTTTAAAATCAGACCAGTTTTTAATATGAAGTCTATAAAGGTCTATAAAGTAATATGTAAAAATATTCCACTAAATTGCTACATGAAGTAAAAATTTATATTTATTTTACTAAATATTAAATTAATATATGAAATATTCATAGAAAATATTTAGATATATACCTAAAGTTAGCGCAACAAAACGGAGTCATTCTATTCTCAAGTAATGCACGATAAGAATATATTTTAAAAACTACAACACCACAAACATAATTCAGGCATATTTTTTATATAAAAAAATATTCAATATGATTTTGATCATGATAATGTTACATGTTTTACTTATATTATGTATAGAAAATTACAAAATTTCTTTTTGATAGGTATTAGGTGTTATGATTGTAAGCCCATTTCAATAAAATTATGTATGATCAAGAGATAATTTGCAATCTTGAGAAGGATATTGGCTATTGCCTTTATAAAAATGGATTGGATTTTTATCGAAATTTGAATTATATCCGATTTTTTTAAATAAACGTAGAAATTACTCAAACTTATAATGTAAAAATAGGTAGTTGGATATGAAAAGAAAACTTAAGTAGATAATAAATAATTATTGTACATTTTTTTTATATAAAGGTAAATTCTGCATCAAATCCCTATATTTTATAGTAAATTAAAACAATTTAGAACAAAAAATTATTAATGTTTTTTCTTCTGCGCAGAATAGTCCCAACTTTTTTATCATCGTCGAAGAAAATCTGGAGAACTACGAAGAAAGCTTCAAAGAGTATATGAAACATGTTAACAACAATGACACTAAGAAAAAGACGTGGTCGTTTTGGAACTCCATGTTTTACGCTGGCACCATTTATACTACCATAGGTAACGTACATATGTATTTTATGTAAAACTAGCATTGCCCGCCCGCGTTCTTTTGACCAAAAAACCAAATAAAATAGCGCTATTGTTATTTTATTTTTTTGTATTATTTATTAGAAAGATATTTTCCCGCTGTAAAAAGTATCCTATATCAACATATAGGATAACCATCTATGACCATAACAAATCAAAATCCCTCCAGTAGTTTTTCTGTCATACGGTAACAAACAGACAAACAGGCAAAAATTCAAAAAATTATAGATTCGGCCTCCGTATCGATAATAATGTCTATTTTAATAAGATTTTCAAAAAGATACTTAATGTACAGATTCGACTTAGAATTTTATTATATGTATAGAAGTTTTAATACATTTTCTCAATCGAAAATTTTATTGTAAGGGCGAAAAGTGAAATCTATTACTTTTTAATCGTTCACATAATTTCTTTGATTTTAGGATCAAAAATAAAAACAGAATTCTTAAGATTATTTAAGTCTCTGTGGCTGTTAAGTTAAATATCACAATAATAGACATGCATAAATGTCTAATTTCGAAGTTTTTTTGGGCCTGAACTTGTAGATTTAATTTTTTTGGTGTAGCATGTCAAGTATCAAATGATGAAAGGGCTTGTTGTGAGAAATGCAATTATATTCTAAGCTTTTAAAACGAACACTTTGTATGAATTGAAATCGGAAAGCGTTCACATTATTAAGAAATTTATAAGACTAGAATTTCGAAAAATATACTAGATATTATAGTACTACTTAAAGTTTATAATATAGGAAAATTAGACGAAAAGCATTAAATCCCTTTATATTTTCATACGGAATCACCTTCACTATCTTGTTCAAATCCAATACGCATATAACCATTTTTTGTCTATACTGTCACACTAACAAGTTTTAGCTAATATGATATTGGTGAAAGTACACTATACCTTAAGGCCAAATAACTACCTTTCCATTATCTTTCATTAGAATAGCAATATCATACTTGTTCTCCCTCGACTGAAGTAATTAAAAGTAAACAATAGCCAAGCTCTTATCCTTAAATTGGTTAGTAACTGAGAATTATCTTTTTCGCGTATTTAAAGATAAATATCTCCTTAAATAGTTTTTATTTAATATTAACGTAATAGGTAAGTGTAGGTATATAACATGGTGATCATACAACGCCTGTATTAATATGTAAGAAATAACGCTTAGTAAAAATTTGCTATAAAAAATTATCAGGCGCATGGTATAAAAGAGATATTAATGCATGGTAAAACTATAATGATATCTATATGTTATTTTGTTTCTCTGCACTTACTGAAAGTGCTCTAAGAAAACTGTGTAATTTTATTTCTTAGTGTTTTCAAAGTAAACAACGGGGACAAAATCCTTTAATGTTCAGTGCAAGCTTTCAAAGCCTCAGACACATTAGATGAAGTGTTTGTTTTGACATTGCACTTTAGCTTTTTTAATGCTAATTGTTTTGGATACCGTTTGACAAAATCTTAAAGGTGGACTTTTACACGTAACGAAATATAATTTTAAATTGAAGTTTATTTATTTAACATTTTTGTTTATTAAACGTTCAATATGTTATATAAAAAACCCCATTATATTGGTAAAAAAACTGTAAAACTAAAAATACCTTAAAAATTTGGTATTTTTGTGACATTTTCAACAAGACCAATTTACATATATGTAGTTAAGATAGCTTATTATATATGTAGTACAACTTATAAGTCAAAGTAACTTTGTTACTCTAAGCTTTTTGAAACGTTGCATAATTTTTCATTACTATGAGCCTTGACTATTCACAATATATATTATGTAAATAGGCATCTAATCTAAATTAGCAAAGTCATTTGAATTATATTGGCTTATATACATAGTAGGCGTCCTATATAATATTGTTTATATTATATAAATAAAAATACGTCTATAAATATCAAACACAGATCAAAATCTAATAAAACACGTCTGTTGTGAATAAATATCACCGAATAAATAAAGTCCTGTGTGATGTCTTAACAATGATAGTTATAACAATAAAATAAGAGATACGAGTATATATGGTGTAGACACTCGAGTGTTTCACTTTCTCTGGAAATTCAAGCTTTACTGGTCGAGAACGTGTATAATTTTAACCCACACAAATATATTATGTGTACTTGTAGTTGATTTAATTTTGGATCGCTGCCCGGCAAGCTCGGCGCACTTGAGCTCAGTCTCCACACGATGTAAACGTTTATTAGAAAATTTACTTTTTACATTTTCTTATAATAATATTGAATTTTAAGATTTCATAACGTTTTTATATAGAATATTTTAAAAGAACATAGTGTTAAAAACCTAATATCAACCTTTTCCATTTTGTTTGTTTACGTTTTACTCCACAAGACGCCCAAAATAGATTCTTTTAATAGACTGGCAGCGACCCCAATGTTTAGAAAAGCTCTTCAAGATGGTAAGTCACATTTTTAATATCAATATCTCTGTTCTTAGCCTTACTTGTCATCACTGAATGTATTGGCAAATGATACTAAAAATATTGCCAAATACATTATATATACGAATGATATCGATAACAATTGTTTTATTGAATTCATCATGAGTTCATTGTGATCATTGACTTTATAAGTGAAGTACTATTTTATAATTTCAGGGGGCGATTTTAATCAGATATGAGCGACGAAGAATTAGAGCATAGTATTGCCGTAACCTTAAATATTCCTTTAGTCAAATCTGAAGGTGTTCAAACTAGTGGTAAAATTGTTTCAATAAAAAAAGAAGACAATATGGAAGGTGAACCAGAACTACAAACTATAACAGTGCGTAAACGTAGAAATTTATCAAAAAATAGAGGACAGGCAACAAGACAAAGAGAAAAAACTCCAGAGCCAGGTAGAGTGCCTTACGAAGATACTACTTCTGATGATGAAGAAATGCATCCGAATCGTACTTCAAGAGAAATTGAAGCTGATAATACTTACGAAGAAATGAAACGATTAGTCCAACAACAGGCTAACGCTAAGGATCCAGTATATGACATAGATACCGATGAGATTCTAGAAGCCAGAGCAATAGCAGCAAATGAAAGAAGACGAAGAAGTATTTCACCTTTTGCTTTACCAGATAAAGATGAGGGTACCAAATTAGAAAGAAAAGGAAGTTTCATTGATCCTGGTAATAGGTTGCTGAGTACAAATTTTACTTTGAGTTCTAAAGAAGAAAATTCAAATCGTCGTGGTTCTTTGACTATTGATACACCACCTCCTTCATCACCAAAAGACCAGTCTCAGTTTTTCCCAGCGACACCAAAAAAATTGGAAGAAAACACAGTTTATCCCAATGAAGTAAAGAAAGTAACTGATAAAATGGATAAAAATAAAATAAGTCCTAAAAAAGAAGATCCTACGGAAAATGAAAAGGAAAAAAGACAAATCACAAAAAAATTAGCTCCTGGAGAACTGGTCACTAAAGTAATACAAGTAGAAAGATCGCCCAGTAAAAAATTAACACCAGATCAAAAACCTGTTGTAGAAATAAGAGAAAGAGTTGTAAGGACACCAAGTAAAAAGCTATCTGCTGAAAATAAGCCAGTCGTAACAAAACAAATACCTTCTAAGCAGACAAATGAACCGCAAAATAAAGTGCCACCTGTCAAGCCAGCAAGAAGCAAATCTTCGTCTAGATTAGTGGTCAGTTTGCATTTCCAAATATTTTTGATATTGTTACTCATTATATTATTGTTAGGATTATATTATGTTCTCCTCATTTAATAACATATACACATATAATCAAAATATAATATTGTATAATAATAGAATATGAAGATTCACTAATGAGAATTCGTAATAATATTTCCAGAGTAAAACTAGTGAAAGTGAAATGAGTGAAGACCAAATAAGTCAACAAAATGTTAGACGCAAGGTAGTACCTACACCTCGACGTTTTATGAAAAACAAATCCCCCCGAGCTAATCGCTCACACTCAGTAGCTAGAGTTGATGGAACAAAAGACTTAGATAAAACTGGCACGGGAATGAGTCAGACAAGTAGGGAAATAATAGAACTAATGCAAAAAGCTAGAGCTCGTAGTTTATCTATACCAAAAGAAGATCCTAGGGTTCCATCAGAATATAAACAATATAGCAAAGTATTGCAGACGCCAAATAAAACTCCTGTAAATTTAAGACACACAAGAGGTATATCTTGTCCAAAAACTATACAAATTATAAGCGATAGAGAAATTTTAGCTGGGTTAACCCCGCAGCCAAGAGTAAAGCAGGAATATGAAAAACACAGTAGACACAGTTCAGGTTACGTCGACGCTAGCCAGTCAGAATACACTTCTAGTTGCTATTCTAGTTCACCAAGTGAAAATGAATATGAATTTGATTTGCTTGAAAGGTCAGCTGAATTGACTCACAAACTCAATCTTTTGAGCCAAGAAGAAGAAGATAAAGAGACAAAAAGTAACATAAGTTTAGCTCAAGATAACAGTGTCAAACAGGATGCTCCAAAATCTGTACTTAGGAAAAGGTCAGTTGCGGATAAAAATTTTGCGATAAAGATTGGAAAAGAGCATTTAGATGATAAAAAGGAATCTCCAAAAACTAAAAGAGATACAAAAAAGAAATCTGACAAAACTTCAACGCGATCACGCTGGCAACTTATAGCAAATTGGCAACAATTTATAAGTGAAAACAGAAACGATTATGATAAAATTATGTCGTTAAAGAATAGGTGTATTTGTGATCTGTTATTGCTTATTATAATGTGTGGTCTAGGAGGGATGATGTTTAAAACGTTTGAAGGATCGTTTGAAAACGCTTATAAATGTGGCACTAGGAATGTTAAAAGAGATTTTATTGACAGCTTATGGCGTGAAAGCTATCGCTTAAGAGAGGAAGAGTGGAAATCTTTGGCGAGAAGAAAGCTATACGAGTTTGAAGAACAACTTCATACAGCTCATGAAGCTGGCGTGACGTCCTATAGCGGACTAAGATCTTGGAATTTCATGAATTCCTTTGTCTATTGCTTGACATTAGTAACAACTATTGGTAAGATATTATTAAATAAACAAAATACCAAATCTTGCACAGTTTTTTTTTATAATCACAATACGCAATGTATATTTAAATAAACAAAATATATACCACAGTAAAATCTATAAATAATGAAAAATAATCAATAATTGAATAATCTTTTTCAGGTTACGGTCACATTGCTCCCAAAACAACATACGGTCGAGTGGCTACGATTGTCTACGCCATTATTGGTATACCATTGTTCCTGATTGTTTTGGCCGACTTTGGAAAGCTTTTTACGAGAATAATTAAATTCTTTTGGGCTTTTATTCGGCGATTTTACTACACGAGAAGCTGCAGAAGAGTGCGAAGAACAGTACCAGTACAGGTACAAATGTATTTTATATCTTAATCATACATAAACACATTATCTATACTAATTGCGTCGGCAGTATAGTGGCTAGCGTGAATGGCTGCAGGATCTCGAAGTCCTGGGTCGCGCTAAGTCAGATATTGAGTTTTTCTATCACGAAATTCCCAGTAATAGGCTAAATTTGGGCTATTAGCGGCGTTACACAAATCCAGATTTTATCCAATTTTTTGTTTCTCTGTCTGTTTGTACATATTTTGTCCTTGAATCTGTTGGACCGTTTAAATGGAATTTTGCCTTTTGATACCTTATATCCCTGGCCAACATTTTAGATACTTTTCATCCCGCAAAATTAAAGAGTTCCCGTGGGATAGTTAAAAAACTATAGTTACTTATACAGCTTAGTACACAAAAATTACTGAATGGTTTTTATGAGACTTTATAATAATATAGTTCATACATCAGACTAACGAATAAGCACTTTTTATCTAGGAAAAATGTACGGTTCCCGCGGGATAGGTTTGATTTTGTTTGTCTAGAGGTGAACCGCTAGTTATACATATATACTAAAATAATGTAACTGAACTTTGACAATAATAATATTTATAACAAAACAACAATATCTAATATCCTCTAGTATAAAATCAAATTTTATGGCATAGCAGGTCAGATAGGTTTTCAATGCATAACAATTCTTACAGAACAATAACTTTATTTACGGCCAGTATAATTTCACATAAATTAGTATGTTCACAAGATAAAAATCACTCAACGTATATATAATTACATACGGTGCTAGTGTTATAAAAATCTTTTGATTTATGTGCGCATATCACGATTTATTTTCATTTTTTATTATCTCCTTACAAATTTTATATTTATTAATTGTAAGTATGATTATGACGATCAAATGGTTTATTTTACAAGCTTTTATTTAACTTGCAATTTTTTATGTATGTTTGTTCGGGTCAAATCTTGCAACAGAAATTTAAAGTACTTATCCTTAACCGATTGAGCTGAAATTTTGCATATACGTTTACTTTAGATGACAATGCATGGTTAGATAAGTGATATCATTCTAAATCCAACATGACGGATTCCCAACGATATCGGACTATGGTTTTTTATGCATCCCCATGATATTAATATCATATAAAAGGGTTTGCTAAAAAGAATACAAATTAATACCTAAAAAATTAACTTTAAATTAAATCAAATCTATTTATTTCATTACACAATTTATATGATATAAAAGCTTGTTTTTAAAAATGTTTTCTTTTTTAATGTTAATTATAATTAAAAAGCAACTATATTTGTTAACGATTTTTATTAGAACTATTTTTGTATATTTGCTGTGTTGTATTTGTATTTTTGCTGAACGGATGTTGATGTATACATCGTTTTATCTTATACGCAACTTGGACAGCGTATACCGATGAAGCTTTTTTTACTAACTCGATTCATTAATAAAGTCATTTAAATGCTTAAATAAATTTTAACACATTCTTCCCGAAGAAATGTCATATCATAAAACATCATATCAACAAAAACCGCTCTTTATTAGCATGCACATACTTACGGACTGAAAGACGAGCTCTCGCCGGCGACTTACATTTATATATACATACATGTGAAGAGATAATCTTATTGATCTCAATATCCTTTATTATCTCATTTCATTGAAAAGTTTTTGCGTGTATGTGTGTGAGTGTGTGTGTATATCTGTTACTTCTATCGGCTGAACGGATGTTGATGTATTTAATACACAAATAGATTATGATCTGAAGTAACACTGTTTGATACTAGGGATGCACCAAAGCAAAACAAGGGTAATTCACTAGCAATTACTGATAAAAATAAGAAATGATTTCCCCATTTATATTAACGCACAAGGCAAAGGTTGTTACAAAAAATTCTTCTTATCACTTCTTGTTAAAAATGTTTCAAATTACTGCTCCAAGGAAACAAACCGAATATTTCTCTTTTAATAAGCGAATAATGATTTATCTGCGAGCCACTTGTTGCCATTTTTAGTTCTATATCCTACATGCTGATCAAAAGTATTTCAGCTACAGAAAGACATTAACAAATTAATTTGAATTTCAGGAAGTGATGAAAGGACTTAATATAGTATACGACGTGGTTCGTCGGCCATCACAAATATTTTCTGAAGAAGATGGAGATGGAGAAGTTTCTGTTCATGTTCAACCGCCGCCAGTAGAAAGAAAGTTGAGTGACGTACCACCCCCACTACCCCCAAAACCTGGAACTTTAAGTTTCGAAAACGTTACTGAACCAAACACGCCCGCTCCGTCAGTTTTTGAAATAGACGATGAGTTCAATTTACCTATATCCGTAGCCATATTCATTTTAGTTGTATACATTATAATTGGTGCTGTGGGTTACAATTTTTGGGAGACATGGAATTTCTTTGAATCTTTCTACTTTGTGTTTATTTCTATGTCGACAATTGGTCTAGGTGATTTGGTCCCCGACCATCCTATGTTCATGATGGCATCTATTCTATACTTAGTATTTGGTCTTGCCTTAACATCTATGTGTATAAACGTAGTTCAAGTAAAATTATCTGACACTTTCAAACAAGCTAGTGCTAAGCTTGGAGCGACTATCGGTCTTAAAGTGGCCGACGAAGATGGCAGTTTAGTGCCTATCACACCACCTCCAATAGAAATACCTGGTGTCCATAAACCAAAATGTAATCCGGAAGATATTAAAAGTAAAGAAAAAAAAGAAAATGACGCTAAAACTGCATGAGTTGTGAAAATAAATGTAACAAGTGTGATTATTTATAAGTGATACTGTTATTAATAATATACAGTTTATAATTATTATAATTTTATACAAGAAATTTACATTGATGTTTGTAGCTGTGTGTAAATAAAGATTTTTACAGTTTTTTTTATTTTTTATCAATTAACCGTAAAGGGAAATATCGAATTGTGTAAATTAATATGAATGTAATACTACAAAAAATGATTTCAGTAGTAGTTCTAACTATTAACAATACAATAAAAATCTTAATCAAACTTATTAGTACACTTTTTACGTTCTTATAGATAGCCTCTTACAGGAACAGAACCCGTGACTATTGTCTGAATTCCGAAGGCTTAAAAATGTAATATTTGCTTTACCACTATATAAATTACAAATAAAATACATCCAGGCGTGTGTGGTTATTTAAAATATACGCTAATGGACACGTGTATAAAAACGAAAATGATCAAAACAAAGCAAAATTCTTACAAAGAGTTTAATTTCCAGCGGTGTCTATAGAATTGAATGGAAATGGCTTCAAAATATTTTTCCAACACATTGTCACAGGTAATGGAGGTGACGTATAACGCTCGCCTCAAAAGCTTTGCAAGGAATTTAATTATGCTCCTGTAATCTAGCCTCAGCTTCACCAACACTGTCTGTATGTCACCGCACCTTTTATTTTATTTTAGGCTGTGGACGTACTAGCATTTTCTCGTCATATTTATTCACAAGCGACTCAGCTGGGCTTTACTCGGGGGCTTTTTAGGTGCCTTATGCTTATGTGCTACTCCACTCCATTCCAGGTCATAGTCTATCTGTGTGCAAAATTCCATTCAAATCCGTTTAGGTATTTTAGCATGCAGTTGAAACAAATGTAGACACAAACTTCCGCATTTATAATATAATAGTAGCCCAATTTGAGATGCTTTCGCTTCTTTTTAGCGTACTCATAGTCAGTTGTAGTGCACCAATTTCATAAGAGAAATTAAATTACTGCTATAAAAATACTCGATGCTACTCTCTAAGTCTTATAAATATATTTAAAAACAAATCTATCCCACGGGAACCGTACATTTTTGCGGGATAAAAAGTAGCCTTTGTGTTATTCTGATGTATGAACTATACTATTGTAAAGTTTAATTAAAATCCAATCAGTAGTTTTTACGTACTAAGCTGTATAAATTACTATATCTATATAATATATGTTTTATATTGTTGTATATATATGTTTAACTATGCCACGGGAACTCTTTGATTTTTCGGGATGAAAAGTATCTAAAATATTTACCAGGGATATAGGTTATAGCCATGCAACATTTTATTTAAATCAGTCCAACAGTTTCGGAAATTATCACGTACAAACAGATAGACAAAGAAACGAAAGAATTGAAAAAATCTGGATTTGTTCTATTTCTCTTCTTACATCCCCCTGACTCGGTTTTTAGCATTTATTTTCTATATACACACAGTCGACTTCTACAGTTTTATTTTATGTATAGACGTATAGATTATTATAACTTATAAAAAATAAATATGTTGGGACTAATGTTGTATAAATACCATGGAACTAGATGCACTATCTACATGGCATGTTGTTGCCATGGCAAGTTACGAGGCTTCTGTTATACATACCAGATAGTTGATACGCTACACATATATAACTTTGAATATAACAATAATTTTAATATAACATATATTATAAATATAAACACCAATGACTAGAGTACAAACATTCATGCTCATCACACAAATGAATGCCCCCAGCGGGACTTGAACTTGCGACCGCTGGCACAGCAAGTACGGACAAACTGAGCCATATAATAATTCTCTATTATTTCCAAGAATAAATAAAATCGTTAAACGTTTCTCATGACTATGAAAGTAAAGAGAATAGTGTAACCAAACACAATAATATCTTATAAGTGCCTGGTCAAAGCTATACGGCTATAATTTACGGGAGGACCTTAAATTCTTTAAAGTATAAGTTAAGCTTAACATTTTAATGAGCTAACATAATATATTTCATTTATAGCACCATAAGGAATATATTGTTATAACGTATAGTGTGAAGTATGCCTAAATAACACCAACATTTTACGTGTATTTTAATGTCTTTTTATTCTTTGTGGCAAAGTGCCTCATCGCCTCTACAGAAGATTGATTGATTACATATTAACACTCCTTTCAACAATATTTTTTAACCTGTTATAATATACGAAACCTTTTAAAATAAAATATTTGCATCATAGAAGCGACGTATATATTATGTACATATGCACCTATGTATTCCCACTATCAATTGCTGTGTAATATTTCTTTTCAACCGACTTCAAAATTCAGTTCTCAATTCAGTGGTATTATTTTTATGTTTGCTACCTCAGAACTCCGTCATTTAATAGTGGATTTGGAAAATTCTTTTTTTGTTTGGAAGTGTTTACTTACAGTTTGGTCTCGATGGAAAAATAGGTAATGAAAATTTAATCTACTTTACAATATGACAATTATGTCATATTAACTTGAAACTTTGCAAGTGTTTGTATTTTCGTTGCTAGTGCAATGATTCGATAACGTCGAGCTGATCTGTTGGTAAAGCCAGAAGGTGCATAGAGGAACTCTTCATCGGCTAATAGTACATACTTTGAGTTTGGGCTTGTTTCGTTTGATTTGACAAGCACAATACTTTAGAATTGGATTTTATAGCCTAATTTTTGGTGCTACTAATAAATACGAATTTTAGTTTATTAGTCTTGACGTAAAAATTACAGCAAAAATGACACTTTTGTTACACAAACAACAAAAAATTGTAACACGACTTTTCAGGGAGGATTTCTAAAAAAATCTTTTATAAAACCTTGTTCTGACAATTATGAACACAACAAAAGTGAAATCAGCCAAGTCAGAATAATAGGCAGTCGGAAACATACATATTACCTTTATACATCTACAGAATTAAAACAAAGTCGGTGATGTTACAACACTTATAACTTGAGAGCTGCTGGGCCGATTTTTATTGATATGAAGCGTCCAAACATATCTAGGGACGAACCTGTGCAAAGCGAGGATGCGTCGCTAGTATTTTATAATAGCTGCGTGTGTCTGTCTCCACATTTCTTTAGCATTTTTTATTATAAATTACATTTAAACATAAAGAGTTTTTATATATTTTTGTAAGCCATTTATAGAAAGAATCCTTTATTTTTATACCCCACTCGATAGGTTTGAGGAAAAATTTTTTTTTAAGATATAATATAGCGCCAAAAATCGCCCCTTTTAATTTTTATAATTTTGATATACCAATTGTCACTCTAACAATTAACACGAACCTAACGACACATCTCAAGCTAAAATCCATCCAGCTGTTTAGGCTACAGAGCGTGTCAAAGAAATATGCATATGTATGTATTGTACATACATACATACATATACACCTCTTAAGCCTTTTCGAGTGTTGTTTGTTTGTATGTTTGTATGTACTTAAAAAACATAACCATTATTACTTAATATATTTTCATACATTATTAGTTGCGTGTATCAAAATTACCAAAACAAGTCAAAAAATTATAATGATTGCGATAATATTTTTTTAAATATTTAATCCCAAGTTGAAATATATCCAAAAACAAATTGGAAGAAAGTTAAATATTAGGGACAATGATAAAATGAATTTATTTACAAAATCATTCCATAAAATTTACACATATATTTTATGTTGAATGCGCAGTAAAAGCGTTCTCAGTCCTCGCACGCCCGTTTTAGTTAGCGGAGCGATGTCTAGAGCTCTCGAATACCCTCACCTAAATAATACGGGGCCGAATTATTTTGGAGTATCGATTCAGCCTTTTTGCAAAAATTTCTTAGTCATGCTTTTTTGATTGAAGTGCGCACTGCATAATGATAGTCGTTAACACCTATCATTAACTAAATTTATATTTCCATGAAAATGTAAGTTGCAACGTGTATTTTTATGGAAATAAATATCTTCAAACCGAAATTTGTAGCTTTTCACACGTGAAATATTTTTTTTTTGACTTGAAAAAGGTTTCCATGCCCATTGTTTTCCGAGAGTTTCGAAAGGTTCCCCTTTCCACCAATTTTGAAAATTATAGCAAATAAATTAAAAAGTTTTTTATTAAGTTCAAATGTTATATTTGTGATATATAGCTTACTAGCAGAAAACGCGACTTCGCTCGCGCTAAAACTACTAAAACTAAAAAGGTTTCATACAAATTTTCATACCCTATTTTACTTCCTTATAGGAAGAATTTCCAAAAATGCTAAAAACATGTATTTTTTTTATACTATTCTGAATTAGTCCTTGACTACGTTCCACCTGATGGTAAATGGTAACGCAGTCGCAGATGGTAAGTCGCACTAATTCAGTAGCCACCTATTCACTCTTGCCTTGAAGACACCCATATTGTAATCGGACAGAAACACCGACGCCGGCAGGTTGTTCCAATCCTTAGCCGCACGTATAATGAATGACGTTGCGAAACGCTTCGTTCGGAATTAAAAATATTTTTTAATTCTGAATCCTGATCAAAAATATTTTTTTTGTTTTGTATTATAACGTGTGTTCCCGTGGGTATGAGATAATTTCCCGCGGTAAAAATTAGCTTATGTCACTCTCCAGGCCTCCAACTATTTTCACGCAAAAAATCACGCCAATCCGTCATTCCGTTTCTACGTAAAAGAAGGACAAACAAACACACTGTCACATTTATAATATTAGTATGGAAGTACGGGTATTATATATTGATGCGAGCCGACCATAGTCCGCAACGCTGGCCAAATGTATGTATAATGGTGGATTGGATACGTGGTTCAAAAATTATTTCACTTGGATATACAGATATCCCGCTTGGATAATACCTACTGCCTAGTTATTTGGTACTTTTATCCGGATTTTTTTCGGGGAGTTACGAAAATTGGCGATTTTATAGATTTCGATGTGCTCTTTCCGAATTTCAATTTCGCCACCTCGTATCATTGCCACTCGCGCCACCATATTGAAAAAATGGCGTCTTATGGCAGTTTTTTGACAATATATCCATTCCGACAAATTTTCCGGTAAAAAAAATTATATAAAAAATTAAACTAGAGATTTTTTAGTAAAATCAATAGCCGACAAGCGCCGCAAAGTGTACTTTAACATGCGTTTTGGCTAAAAAACTCATTTTCACATCACTTTGAGGTAGACTAAGTGGCGCGTTTTTTTATCATAGTATCCTATCTGTGTGATCCGTGTTACGCGGAGTAAAATATATAAAACTAACGCTAATAAATTATAATATATATTGTGTACCTTGTACGTGGACTTAGCCGTTGAAGCGTTGCCGGGCCCGGAATCCTTAATCCTGCGTAGGCACTGATCACTAGGGGTGTTTTGTGTGTATGTAGAATATAATATATAAGCCCATTAATCAATCCGACCGAAATACTTTGATTTTCTTTGTAACCGACACAATTCAAAAGGGGAGCTCTCGTCCCACCGACCGACGAATACCGACTGCCATTGACAACTGTCATTTCAAACCCGACCTAAGATGATACCATATAAAAAATACGAAACACTATCCATATGTAAAATAACCTATTACGGTCCATGAGATACAGCCCTCTGTCAGACGGATGGACGCACGAAAGGATGGACAGAGGAGGCTTAGTAATAGGGTTCCGCTGGCACCCTGCGGGTTCGGAACCCTAATAAATAAAACCCAAATCAAACGTGTACCGACAAAAGCTACCACAGTATATTTATAAACAAAAAGCCTTTTTGTACCTATCATTAAAGCTCACTTAGGCTCAATATCTTTACTTCTCTGAATATTATGTTTAGGGCAATAAAAATGTTATTTCGCTAATGAGAAAGGAGCTTTCTGTAATCACAAAGGGAAAATCTAATCTTTAGCTGTAGCTACATTGTTATTCTGAGTACGTTTATAGAATGCGTACGTATTTAGTGATACTTGATCTATCTATCTATACTATAATAAAACTGTAGAGGTCGAATGTCTGTACACACAAAAAATGCTAAAAACCGAGTCAGGGGGATGTAAGAAGACAAATAGAACAAATCCAGTTTTTTTTTCAATTTTTTTGTTTCTGTCTGTTTGTCTGTTTGTACGGGCTAATCTCCGAATCTATTCGACAGATTTAAATAAAATTTTGCGTGGTGGTACCTTATATCCCCGGGCAACATTTTAGATACTTCACATTACGGAAAATTAAAGAATTCCCGTGGGATAGTTAAAAAACTATAGTAACTTATACAGCTTAGTACACAACAACTTATGCACCTAGTTTAGTAAAATTTGGCATGCTGATACCTTATATTGCCGGTCAAACAATAAGTTACTTTTTGTCCCGGAAAAATAAACCGTTTCCGTGGGATTGATCTGTTTGTGCTTTGCTAGTTATACATATGGAACACTAAAGTTTATGTACATACATGATTTTTATTTTTTCTAAAGTTTTATTAAGTGTAAATAAACTCATTCAGATTCACTCGGCTACATTTTTGCATACAGCCGGTTCCCGTTCAAGCCACAATTTTTATTTCTCTTCTTTATTGTCTTCATTACATGAATGTCCTGACTGGACCTTCCCCAAGAACTATATGTTCTTATATAGATTGTGTGAGGGAACGGTATAATACTATAAATATAAACTCTAGTAAACCGGTAAAGTACGTACAGTCAATTTAATTTAAAGTTAAGTCAGTAAGAGTATTTTTGTACAAATAGAAAGCAGAGTATTTTTGTTCCAGCAATGTTGTTACAAAATATAAATGGTTATGATCAGCAAGCCTCGGATTTGTCAGAATCCTTATATAATTTGATAGGTTCTTTATTGCATTAAATGATTAATGTTTATTGTTTGCACTCATCTAAAGATAAAATAGGCAAGGACAATGTAGTGTAATGTTAGTAGTATTGACGAGCTGTAGTGTTATCAACAAAAAAATTGAAAAAAGTTCGTTTTTTTCATATAAGTAGGTAAATTCTATTTATAATATATGTTTTCCTCAAATTTTCAAAAATGAATATGATTGAATCATTCAAACGCAAAATATTTACACATGCTAAAATTAAAATGATGTGTGGCTTCAAGCATTAGAATGATCTTTGAAAAAATTCAGGAAATAAACATACATACGAGTACATAATATGTATTCTTAGCATTTATTGTCCGAGTCTCTGCTTCAAGTCTGGCAAAATTTGCTTTCCTCTGTCAGTTTGTTGGTACTCCTCTAAATGTTGTATTTTACAAAAGTATTAAGAAGATAAGATTATGATATTAAGTAAGATTTTACAAAAGTTTGTGCAAAAGTTTGTGCTCGCGAGGTCTACTGTTCGCGGAGCTACAAGTAAATATTAGAATCGATTTGAATCTAAAATTCATGTAATATTTCCTATTTTTCTATCCTAATCATTTATTCATTCACCAATCCATACTAATATTATAAACGTTAAAGTTTGTGAGGATGGCTGGATGTTTGTTACTCTTTCATACCAGAACGGCTGAACGAATTTGGAAAAAATTAACACAGAAAAAGATTATATGCCTGGAATAGCACATAGGTTACTTTTTAACCCGGAAAAATGTGTGGTTCCCGTAGGATAGGTTTATTTTTGTGTAGGGAAGAACTCGAAGTAAAGCGAGTGTGAGTTGCTAGCCACTGACATACAGGAATTATTAAAAACTATATAAATAAAAAATAAAACTGGTCTCGTGATTCTGGACTCCAAGAAAGAAAAAAAACTTCGACCTAACAAATCTGTTTTACTTCTTATTTACACCTGTTCGGTTTATCTAATTTAGGTATACAATATTTGAATAGGTACATAAAAATACACCATAATAAAAAAAAACTAGTTTTGTTACTAATCTACATAAACTTAACATTTTAATTCTCACTTACGATTCCCACTTCTTACTAATAACATCTTTGTTAAGTGCTTAGCTATATTATTTAATATCTTCTTCGTATTATGTAATTTAAAATCAGTATACTCTTCTACGAAACAGTCATCATAATATTGGGAGAGGAGTTTTGTCATCCTATACTTCATATGCCTGATTTCGTTGATATATTCATAGTACCAATCCAAGCAATCCCACAATGAATTCATATTTATTTTTCTTATTTTAGAATAATATTCAATTGTGAACATAATACTTTGAACACTATTAATTGTTTTATAAATATGTGTTTCCATTGTATCCCAGTCCTTTAGAATTTGATAAACTTCATTTCCTTCGAAATAACAGTAATAGGTATCAAAATAAGAAATGTTTTTGCTTTCGCTACAATGTAAGTTTTCAGTTAGATCCTCCTTCATATACTTGACAAAAAAAGTATTTAAGTCTAGGGATTTTATATCTTGCACTTCATTTTTGAACTGTTTTATTAAGAGCAAATTCAAATATAAGCTCGGTATAGAAACAGGTAAAAGCTCGCAAGGGGGTTCCATATGGCTATATCGAGACCAGCCTGTGAGGATTATGCCTTTAAAGTTATAAATTTCATTTTCGCCACTAAATTTGTAGTCAAGGATAAGTTTCATCCAACTGAAGTGATTTGAAAACCTGTTTTTTAGATCCGGGTATGTAGCTTTCACACCATCTGCACCTTTGAAGGCTGAAGCTATCCAAATACTGTTAACTGTTTTGTGATGCTTCATCAGGTTCACGTCAGATACAGATGTAATGCCTGGAGTGTAATCCCAGTACACGAGATCAATATCGGGCTTACGAATTTTGTTCCATATATAAAGTGGGATACTTCGGAACATGTCGTCCCAAGCTAGAACAGTTGTATTTGGACTAATAGCTTTCACGATATTCAAAACTTTATGTACATGACTTAAATAGATATCCCTGTAATAAAAGAGAAAATTCTGCATTAGAAATACTAAGAATTTTTTTCGTAAAAGACGCTGAATCGGGGTAAATTATTCATCTACCAAGATAAATGTAATTGTTTTAGTGTAATTATATTAAAATATTAAGTTTAGAAGACATCGCTAAGCTTAGACATAAGTTGTCCTTTGTTCACATACTTTTCCTTTGTTTTGTAAAACATATATTTTATGGTAAATATGTATATAAATAAAATAAATATAATAACAATAACACTTAAAAATATATATATACTTACGTGCTTATCAGATTTCTTCCTAAGCAGTGTCTACATTTGTTAATGTGAGTAACTTCGTCGCAACCAATATGTAAATATTTCAGTGGAAATACTTCTTGATGAAACCTAATAATCTAAAAGGAATTAAAAAGTCAATTATTACACCATGTTAAAAAATTATAATAGATAGGATATTTAAACGGATAAATAAAATTGAAGTGTCTGCTCTTAATGTCAAAATAACAGCTTTTTACTAAATGCATATAAAATTATATACGGTACATATAAGAACAACACATTTTTTTCAATTTTTGTCTGTGTTGTCTATTTGTTCCGGCTAATCTCCAAAACGGCTGGGCTGATTTAGACGGCAGATTGCTGGTGCTATAAGAAGTAACTTAGGTTACTTTTATTTAAGAAAAAGAATTAGGGTTCTGTTCGAAAAAATTAAAACATACACACAAAATCGTACACAATGCACGTAAACGCTAGTAAGCCATACTTGTTAAACTTATCATGCAAGTAGAAAAGATCTTAGCATATCGACACTAAGAAAAGAAAAAATCCAGGTGAGTATAATTGTATTATTAATAATTCCCACGTACACACTCTACAACGTAATGGAAAATCGTTAACCCTCTTCTGTCCGACGTATGAGTCAACTTGAAATATTCATGAGTAGAAAATCTCCCGTGGATTTTTTTGTTTCTTACAAATCTTTTATTAAATTACTAATTTAAGGACTCTCTTTAGAAAGCTCTATTATCATTGACTAAGGCAATTACAAATAATCTAAGTTTAATATTGGGAGATATTTAGAATGTAGATTAGTGTAATTACATTAAAATATTAAGTTTATACCAATATTAAGTTTAGAAGCCATCGCTAAGCTTAGACATAAGTTGTCCTTTGTTCACATACTTTTCCTTTGTTTTCTAAAACGTTATACATTAACATGGTCAAAATTATGTTTTAAATCGGTCGAATTGATATGTAGATAAAAAGTTTATATTTAATAATATATCTATCTAATATATTTAAACGAGCAATTCTTGTATATTTATTTATATCAGCGATCTCGGAAACGGCTCTAACGTATCGCCGAAATTTGGTATGTGGGAGTTTTTGGGGGCGAAAAATCGATCTATATTAATTAGTCTTATGTCTGGGAAAAAGCGTGTTTTCTAGTTTTCATGCGGTTTTCTTTCGCATTATTCCACGCAAAATATGGTCGCTAAATTCGCACGTTAAAAAATAAGCATTATGATCAAGCGGCCAAGGCGCAAGAATGACGATCACAGGTGTCCGTCCGTATAAGGGTTCGTATCCCGATCGGATACAAAGTTTTTAGTTTTGTTTTAACATTTTTTTTGTTTTAAAATTTTGTATTTATTCAAGTTTTTTTATCATACCTATTTATTCAGGTTCATAATTTTGGGTGCACAAGGGTCTTACTAACTTTCACAGATTCAATTGATTAGAAATTTTATGCACTGTCACTTCGGTGGTATTTCCAAGACATGCTAACCTCGACCTGATGCTGCAGCATCAAATAGTCTGCGGTATGCTCATTTCCTCAGAAACTTATAGCAGGTATAGTGTGTTTGGGCTCATAAGAATAGTCTCAATGAGAGTTATCTATTAGAATTAGTGTCCGCGAGTAATTTAAAAAGAATGAAATAAAAATAAAATTAAAAATTTTAAGTAACCGCCCCCCACAGAAAACAACTTAAAAGTAAAAAATAAAATAAAATTTCCCTCTTGGCCTTTTAACTTCATTCAAAATACTTATTAATATTTTGGGGATGAGCGTTGCCGCGTCGGGATACCGCTAAGTAAATAAAATAAAAAGCAGAATACAAATAAAAAGAAGATTGATAATGATAAAATATTAGCGCTCTCATCATCAAAATATTACTGGATAGGTACTTTTAATGAAATTAAAAGCAAGTGAGATTTTTTTTTACTTTTTAGACTTATTTTGTGTCGGGGGTTAGTTATTTTTTTTAATTATAATAAATATATTTTTCAACTTTCACTTTTTTAGTTGAAAATATTCATTAAAAATATTATTTACTTTTTCTATTTAGTCGCTGATCATACATATACTGACATATTTATTTACATATTTAAATTGTTTACCATTTGGTGTTAATACTTTAGATGTAATACAAAAAGTTCTTTTATTTAAAGTTTTACAAGTTTAAAATGTTCGACAAATGCAGAGATTTAGAAGATTTTTTTCTCTATAGACTATTATTGATTTTATGCTACGATTTTAACGGGATGATTCCCCTTTGAACCAGAGCCAATTTTTTTTTATTAATCCCACAAGGGTTGTAAAATGGCAAATCGTTTAAGAAAATTTTTATTTACCTGTTCAAGCATTTCCTCGATCAGCACGTGACTCGCATGTTTACTTGGACAGAGAGAGTCGGGATACGATGGCTCTTCTCTTAAGTGTTGGAACTCTGCTAGCTTCAAAACGAATTCCATATGACCAAATGTTTGAACCAACGGAATTATATCGAAGCCAACACGTACAGCAAGCGAAAGGAACTCCTGTAACTAGATACACATATCTATGTATTATAAATGTTTTCCCCACTCTTTTATCACATTAGTTACGTATAATTTTTATTTAAAACAAACATTCTTTCTAGGTTTATAGACTCTGAAAAATGCTTTCACACACAAACACCCCTTTCCTGTAATTCTCCCACTGTATGAGGGTGTGTTTGGGGTTCAATAACGAAGAATTCTATTAAAAGATTCAATTCTTTTCCGAAATATTTCGTATTATTCGTATACCTACTTCGTATTTCGGAAAAGTTATTCCTAAATGACATTTCCGATTTACAAAGTATTTTAGTTTTAAACACTCATACTTTTTCTTTTATACTTTGTCTGCCATGAAAGTCTAGTTAAAAACATACAATAGTCAAGCGGTAGTTTTTTTTGTTTTTGTTTCACCTTAGTGGTTGTTTTCTACCCATACAAATAACAACATAAGTTCAGTAAGTTCGAGTGGCGGCCATTTTGAGACTTCATTCAGATACTGAATTATATTTACTATACATTTTAGATCTAGTACCAAACATCTCACAAAGTTTCCTGGTCGTATGTATTTGTTAATTCCATTATAATATTTTTTTATTATGCAAAGATATCAAAAAACCTATTTATTTATCCATTAGACTGATTGATCAAAGGCTATATATCAAATCGCTGATTGATCAAAGCCTAATCAAATCGCTGGACAAGTAGGTAGGTACAGGTAAGATAAAAGTAGTCTTTATTTTTCCGCAGCTATTTCTAAAAGTAAATCCCATCAAACACATCACTAGCCAAGTAACATATTTTTAACCAACTTCATCGCATTTAGAATAATAATCTATACTAAGAAATTGAGAGCCGTTTTTTTGTTCGGTTATACTGCGATAACTACTGAACCGATCGGAATAATACTCGTACCATAAGATGCAGCGTGTTTCGGAGAAGGTTTTAGTGTATGATATGTTGGTGATTAATGTACTATGCGGGCGGAGCCGCAGGAAAACGCTAGTAATTTCTATATTTCACTAACCTTAGATTTTTCATAGCAATTTCTTGCGCTTAAATTCAACAATCTCCTATCATATGGAAACATGTCCTCGTATTCTATCAACAGTCCAGTAACACCGAGGTCCTGTAGCTTTGGTAATAGTGTCTTAAGATAACTCAATTTAGGCAGAGATCCTTTCAAATCCAAATGTACTACGACGTTATCTAACTTTACAGATTTTATTGTACGCTTATAAGTTAAATTTTTAATTAATTTATTTAGAAACATCGTATGCGATAAGATGAACAATATTAGGAAAGCAGCAGTCACAATAAAGCATTTAGATTTTAACGATATCCTGGTACACTTAGAGAAAAATGGTAGCAGCATTTTAGAAATTTAGATATGAGATTGTTATGTCAGATAGATTTGTGACAGTTTAAAATTGAATCATGAATGATGAATGCATCGAAAAGATCGTATCACGATCTTCATCAAACCTCCTTTCTTTCCAAGCAAAATAATGTTGTCATATGTTCAATATATTCCACTGGGTTCTTTATCTGTACATATGTACATATTTTTACTAAATCTCTCATAAACTTACTCTAAGATTGCCAAAATTCTCGGAAGTTGAAACCTTATATTACCTTTTTATATATCATAATAACGAATTACGATTTCACTACTATAATTTTTGAAACTTCTTATTTATAAGAATATATTCTGAGAAACATTTCTCAGCAATATTATTTAGTCTGTCAAGTTTTAACCAAATAATATGCAATTCGTTTGTAATAAAAACGATACTGCTTTATATATTTATAAAAGAAAAATTATTAAATGGCATATTATGTATGTGTACATAAATACGTACATGATATATTTTTACTCCATATATCTGAAAGACTTGAGAAACAAATCATACAACATACAAATCTTAAAAAATATATATAAATACATTTCTTTTTTTTAATGTAACAACAAGTGCTACAAGTAAATTGTGAATGCACCTTATTGAGTTGTAAATTACTACGATGCTCTTAAGCATGAGTAGGGTTAACCAGGGTTAAGACGAAGCATTGAAACTAAAGATACAATTAAGGAAACTAAATCCATTACCATATCATTAAAAACTCATAATAATGTACACTTTGTTCCAAAGGACAAGAATTTTTCTCCTTGTCTTTTGGAATAAAACGTTTCTTATATAATCTTATTTTTCTCTCCACTTTATTCAGTATATGATTATAACCAACGACTCACCTATACAAAGTTTCATCCCCATTTTCACCCCCTTAAAGGATAATTTCCGTGATAAAAAGTATCCTATGTTCTTCCCAGGCTCTCAAACTATCTTCTTACCAAATTTCAACTAAATCGGTTCAGTAGATCCTAGATTATCCCCTACAACATCACAAACTCACAAAGTCACAATCTCATAAACTCACAAACATTACCTCATTATAATATTAGTACAGATAAAATACTTTCAGATCACATTGAAGTAGTTGCCATATATTTTATAAGATATCTAATGTCTTCCAGTCTCGTCGTGATCGCGATCTTCATAACTGGGTCAAGATATTGTTACTATAATCCATCAGTATGACAAATAATTTGAAAATAGTTTGTAATTGAAAACTTACATAGCTTATATTGTATGTAATGAGTAAACAAACTTTACCTATTGATAACCCACTTTTTAGATTTCTGCTCTCAAAAGTGGGTTGTATGTGATTAAAGTTTTTACTTCAAAGAATGGGGCAAAATCTAACCTCGTGTACACCTAAATGTATGTACGTATAGCCTTAAATTTTGTTTCAAGTGAAAATGGAACTCATAATATTGAGTTGTATAGAACTTTTTTAACACCCCACTGCTAGGCACAGGCCTCCCTTATATAGGAGGGGGATCAGTCCATAATCCATCACGCATAACCAAGTGCAGGTTGGCGGACTTCAATATATTTTAAAAATTTGCTAGATTATTCAATGGTTTCCTTCACCGTAAGACAAATGGTATTCATGTTGGAAATTATTCGCGCATGAAAATATCACAGGTGAAATACTCGGGTTTGAACCCGCTTTACTCGGTTTCCCAAGCGAGAGCTTTACCATTGGGTTAGTACTGCGTAATATTGAGTTAACTGCGTATTATTGTTTGACAAATTGAAAATTTTTAATCTAAAAATACAACATTGTTACAAGCTACAGTATTGGCGTCGGATATTAAAACTGGTTACTTGCAATATCGACTATTATTACTTACTCTTGCGGTATACGCACAGTAAAACTTTATTTCATTCAGTGAGCACTAATTCCACTATTCTCAGTGAAATGAAATAAGTTTCCACTATCACTATCTACCACTTTCAATAATAGTTCTATTAAATTATCACTTTACTTAACTTCACAATTATTTGTACATATACATATGTATGTTAGGATGGCCCAAAAAATCATTTATTTTTCGAGTCTCTTATGAAAATATGTTAGCTTATCATGTTTATAGATCCGCCTTCAAAGCGCAGTTCAATAAAAAAATTTAAGAGGTCGCCCAAAATTTTAAATGATATTCAAAATCGTTAAAAATAATTTTTTTTCTTTTTTATTTATTGTTTCTTGTTATTTCACTATTTTCTACTATACAAATGATTAGGATTCTGAAATTTTCAAGTCTATATTTTAATATTTAAACGTCATTCAAGATTTTTTTAAGTTTCCAAGCAGAGTAACTAAGACCTTTTAAAGTGACTTCTGAACATGAATATTAACGATTTTACTTCTTGAAAATATTTTCTTGAATTGCGCTTTGGAGGGGACCCTTAAAACATGATTAACTAACATATTTTCGTAAGAGACTCAAAAAAGATTTTTTGGGCCACCCTAATGTATGTACATCTCTGTACACACATATACATATATTAATTACACATACACATTTGTACAAATTTCTTGACACACTCCATTATATACATTCATAAAACAAAGAACAATTTAGTAATAGAAAATTCGGAAATGTTCCAGTAGTTAAGAATTTTTTCTAGAGATTTTCTGTCTCTCTATATGTCTTTACATATAAATAAACCAATCTCCCATTATCTGTTCTTGTCATGAATTGATGACTATATAAAAATATATATTTAACCATGATTTAGGCCTGATTTTATTGCAAAAGAGGAGTATGTACTAGTAATTAAGCATCAATATTTAATAGGTTTTGTTATTATTCAGAGAGATTTTGATTTATTATATTATCCGTAGTAATTTATACCAGCTGTATCTCATACCCTCGAGAGTTATTAACGTATGGGTCGGCTGTAACAATAAGAGAAATGATAACGATCTCGGGCGCACAAATTACAAATGTGTAATACTCATATATTCTGAAATTATAACGTTACGTTTGTCCAGACAAAATAGAAAAAATATTTTAAAAACTGTAACAGTTATACCGACTTCAAAATGATTGTTTATCCAGTGTTTACTCTCAAGGAGCAATTTTTTCTTGAAAGTCATATTGGACCACCGTTGAAACCAACTTTTTTTAAAGTTGCGTAAAAATTACAAACATACAAACACACAGGTGATTATGTAGGATACTGGAAAAGCCAGTACTGCGGGCAACGCAGGATCGTTTACGTATTTAACCACGCCGCCCTGAGGGCTGGTCTACTGAGGTAGACCACACCACCTTGCACAGTGCTTTTACGCCTTATTCCTTCATAAAATAGAAAATCCATTTTTTCCTGCAACTGATATTTCCCAATTGTGAGACATTTATTTGAAAATAATAACTGCTTCGTCAATTTATCTCATATGCGATCTGCGATCTCGTCTGTACACAGATATGCATACTTTTATTGTATTTTTATATCATGAAATAATAGAATACTCTTGACCTAAGTAATAAAAGTTTAAATGTAGCGTTTTATATAAATAGATAGGCTAATACAATTATGTAGGTAGTTAGGTAGGTACAAATAGCTATGACGTGTAAACAGGCTTTTTGTAATGTATATTATTTTCTTGTCCACTTATATTGCCATCGATTTAGTTTAAACAATAACTGTATTACATAAATATTAACCACACTATCTATACTAATATTATAAAGAGGTAAAGTTTGTGAGATTGTGAGTGCACCTCAGGAGATAGAAAAATGTTATAGTGGTTTTTCTGCATGATTTTTTAACACCTAAAATTTTCCCTGTCATTTTATAAAATTATTAATACATAGTCTTGACGTATGCCTTAAGACTTAGTCAGCGTTAACTTTTTGTTTGAAATGCACAGACATATAGATAAACATAGAAACAGACATATAGGCAAAAAAATCAATGACTATTGTTTTGGGGGTGTACACAATACGTAACAGTCTTTGTTTTTCAAAATATTGATATATTTTCCCCTTTTTCCCTTTTTTCCCTTTTCCCCTACCCTACCCTGTCCTGTCCTGTCCTGTCATGTCATGTACCCTTCAGGGAAGGGAAGGCCTTCCCTTCCCTCCCCTCTCTTCCCTTCCTTTCAGAAAGAGCAGAACAGAAAAGGACAAAACTAGCGTTCAAATTTGATTTCAGTGACTGTCTTAGATTCTCATCTTACGACAAACAAAATAGACAGCTATACAATATACATACATATAAAATTTTAATGAATGTCAACCGCTTAACAACAACTGACAAACCAATAAAGGGGTTCCAACATTTTTCTATTAGTTTTTTTGATTAGTTCTAGTGCCTGGTATTCAGTATTCATATATACCAGTTTTATATTATGCGCCACAACTTTAGAAAGTTTCTATCCCTTTATTTAATTGAAGTAATAAAAATATATTTGTAGAAAAAATGCATTATATTTTATTAATAATTAATATATAGGTAGATACTTAACTTTATAAATATTACTTATACGGTCTACGATCCCAGTTTCGTACCGATAACATATTTTTTAAATGCTTAGCTATATTATCTAATATCTTCTTTGTATTATGTAACTTTAAATTAGTATACTCTTCTACGAAATAGTCATCATAATAACGGGAGAAGAATTTTATCATTCTTTTCTTCATATTCATAATTTCTTTCATGGATTCCTTATACCAGTTCAAGCTGTCAAGTAACATGTTCATATTTATATTTTTTGTTTTTGAATAATAATCAATGGTGGACAAACTACTCTCAACTTTATTTATTGTATATAAAATATTGGTTTCAATGGTATCCCAATGCTTTAGAAGTTGATTAAGTTCATTTCCATCAAAATAACAGTGATAAGTATCGAAATAATCAATGTCGTTAGTTTCACCACAATGTAAGTTTTCAGCTAAGTCCTTCTTCATATATATAACAAAAAATGTATTTAAATCAAGTCGTTTATTACTTTCCACTCCTTTTTTAAACTGTTTTATTAAGAGCAAATTTAAATATAAACTTGGTATAGCAACAGGTAAAAGTTCGCAAGGGGGATCCATGTGGCTATATCGAGACCAGCCTGTGAGGATTATGCCTTTAAAGTTATAAATTTCACTTTCCCCACCAAATGTATAGTCCAGGATAAGGTTCGTCCAACTGAAGTGATTTGAAAACCTGTTTCTTAGATCCGGGTATGTAGCTGTCCGGCCATCTGCACCTTTAAAGGCTGAAGCTATCCAAATATTTTTAATCGTTTTATGATACTTCATTAGGTTTACGTGAGAAACAGTTGTTATGCCAGGGGTGTAATCCCAGTATACGAGATCAATATCAGGATGATGAGTTGTATTCCATAGGCTTACTGGGATACCCCGAAACATGTCATCCCAAGCTAGAATTTCTGTTTCTGGACTGATAGCCTTTATATAATCTGTTACCCCACGAACATGACTTAAATAGATATCCCTGAAATAGAGAACAAAATACGCTTTAATAATAGTAATAAGTTAATTAATTTTCTAAAAAATGATAGTGTGTAAATGGAGAAACTGCACGCTGAGTATCAGTTTTTTTAGCCTTTGCGTCAGTTATTAAGATGCATATAGTAGAGTCCCCTAGTTGTCAGTCGTCCAAATAGTAAAATCCGTCCGTCCGTCGTCCAAATAGCAAAATCCGTTAGTCCGTAGTCGGCAAAAGATCTTTCCTTCTTTTACTTCACATTGTCAACCGTTTTCACAGCACACACACTTTTCATACATATTGAACTTGACGATACGTTTGGCTCAATTCGTAATAGTCCTACTTGTTGTGCCAGCGGTCGCGGTTTCGAGTCCCACTGGGGGCATTCATTTGTGTGATAAGCACGAATGTTTGTTAATGTATATATTGAAGTGTAATTTGTTCATTAAATATTATCATTTCTATCGTCATGCATTTAGGCTGTTAGTATATAAGTGCGCTGTGCGTGTGTCAGAATCATGCTATATTGTTTTTGTAATAGTATGTTAAGATATATATTATACTAGCAGAACCCACGGCTTCGCTGGCGCTAAAATTAGAAAAATATCTCTAAAAAGGTAGTTTCATACCAACTTTCATCCTGTTACAATTTTAAAAAGTAATCTATGACTCTCTCCAGCCCTCCAACTATCTACACATAAAAAATAATGCCAATCCGTCACTCCGTTTCGACATGAAAGAAAGACAAACAAACAAACACACTTTCACATTTATAATATTAGTATGGATACATATAATGAAAAAAGTTATGAAAGTTGAATCTTTTATGAATAATTTTTAACATACTTACATGTTTTTCAGTTTTTTTTCTAAGCAGTGCTTACATTTGTTTATATGAAATACCTCATCGCAGCCAATATGTAAATATTTTAATGGAGTTATTTTTCCATGAAACTTAACAATCTGTAAGAAGTACGAGTACATATTTTAAGTTAAGTTATTATATTTAACTTAAAAAATAACGATTATGTTCACAAAATAAAATATAAAACTTAAAAGCAAAACTTTTATAGGGGTTTTATTTTGGTCTATTAAGTTTGAAGATACATAAAAAACATATATATAATAAAAAATATTTTTTTTTATTAGAAATTTCAATATAGATCAGTATTAAAATTATATTGTTAAGAAGCTTATTGTCACGGATCCACCTATATAGTTTGCGTGCTAGCCCAAAATTAAGCTAACTGACAGAACATATTTTACTGGTATGTTTACACTTTTGGAAAGCGCCATGAGTAAGTAAAAAGGACAGTCTAAAAATATCTTGTATTGTCAGAAAGAGGTGAAATATGAGAGAGACTCCATTTGATATTAATTGCTTAAATGTACAATAAACAAGGATTGATTAACTTCTATTTACCTCTTATTGGAAATGTCAACAATTGTCGAAAATTTTAGGATTTTACGACTAAAAGGAATTTATGACACATTTAATTTTCTGTAAAATCTCACATTTTCTTAATTGATTTCATATGCCAAGCTACTTCCTTGTGAGGCTAACTTCACTTTCAAACATAATTAAATTATCTTTATCCACATATATAAACGGTCATGGATATAAAATTTAAAAGAAATTATTTACCTGTTCTAACATCTCCTCGACAAACATTCGACTTTCATGTTTACTTGGACAGAGAGAGTCAGGATACCCTGGTAGCTCTCTCAAATGCTGGAATTCTGGTAGTTTCAATGCGTATTCCATATGTCCAAATGTTTGGACCAATGGAATTATATCGAAGCCAACTCGTACAGCTAGCGACAGAAATTCCTGTAACTAAATATGCAGTGATCTTTTAATAATTGGGATTTCGTATCTCATATGACATAGACTCAGGACCAAAACAGAACTTCTTAAGATTATTATTGTGGGGGTCTGTCCATCGATCTGCGATCTAAGCCAAGTTCTGTAAATCTACTAGACAGAAAACCAAAAATATCTTGACTACGTAGTAAAGTTAGGTGACTTAATAAAGGACGCAAAGAATACAAAATGAATTCAAATCCGGGTTGAAATTAGGGACTTAACTGGAAAATTAGCTTAGTTAAATGCGTCATGTCATATTTATATAAGGGCTTATTATTAGATCTATTATAGTTGGTGATAAATATATTATTTTTTAATTTAAAAATGCGTGCATAAGACCTTTTAAATAAAAAGTACAAAAATTGGTATTTAAATTTTTCTACCCAATTTCCAAAATGAGTTTAGAAATATGGAACCAGAAATAACGAAGTCATTAATAATTTGAATTATAGATTACAAAAATATACAAACTCCCTATCTCAACATCTTAAGTCTAACTCTCCAGTTAACTAAATTTATTTTCAGTTTTGTCTACATGCCAGTGAAAAAACCAACATTCGATTTTTTTATAAATATGTGTGTACATATATTTGAGCTTAATACAAGAATCTCACACTCAGCGATTAATCGCCTTCTACAACGTTTACCACTCTCCTCATTGATTTTTATGCTTGAAACCTTTTAAAATTAATTGTTGAGACAAGGTTAGGGTAAATGTAGGGAGACAGGGAGACTTACATTTTTTTTCTGACAACACTAAGTCAATATATACAGTGTCATTTTTAATTTACTGCAGACCTTTTGGGAATAAACTGTTTACATCATAACAACAATGTCTGTAAGAAAAAGAAATCTTAAATTGTACAAAAATAAAAATATTTTTATTGCACCTTTTAAACAGTAATAATGCAGCATTAGCAAAAGAAAGCGCGTGGCCGGTGGAGTGGGAGGGGTGGAGGGGTGTAGGAAGCCGTGCTTACTTATTTAAACTTGACCAGATGCTAGGACTACTACCGTTTAGAAGGTGCAATGAAAATATTTTTATTTTAGTTTGACGACACGTTTGGCTCAGTTTGTAGTGACCCTACTTACTATGCCAGCGGTCGCGGGTTCGAGTCCCGCTGGGGGCATTCATTTGTGTGATGACGAACGTTTGTACTCCAGTCATGGGTGTTTATATTTATAATATGTATATATTTAAAGTTATATATGTGTAGTGTATCAACTATCTGGTATCCATAACACAAGCCTCGTAGCTTACCATGGAACTAGATGGCGCTGTGTGTTAATGTCCCAACTTATTTATTTATTTAGTATAAAATAAAAATTTAAGAACATTTTTTTTGTTACAGATGTTGTTATAATGTAAATAGTATATTCCCAAAAGGTCTTCAGTATATTAAAAATGAACCTGTATTTATATATATAATAATAATGCCACTGTTTTACACAATGACACTTCGTGCGAGTTCCGCTGTGTGTATGTTTCTGAGTGCATAATATGTTGTATATATGTTACTTTGTGGCCTAGTGGCTAGCTATAGATCCGTAAGAATCGGGTTCACCTCTGGAGACGTACGTAACTTTAGTTATTGAATCTTGCTTTTTAAAAAGTTGTCAGTAACAGGCCAGAGTTGCGAAGTTGGCGGTGCTTAACCCTAGTGCCACAAAGAGCACGTAAAGCCCTCGTATAATTTTTCAAAATCGGTTAAGCAGTCAAGTAATTACGAGCAGACAAGGAATCAGACATATATACTTATAGGCTATATACTTATAGGCTTTGTCATAGTCAGTCAATACACATTGAAGGGATTACCTTAACGATACTTTTTTTTTACTAACCTCAGGTTTTTTATAGCAGTTCCTTGCACTTAAGTTCAACAATTTACCATCATATGGAAACATATCCTCGTACTCTATCAACAGTCCAGTAACACCGAGATCCCGTAGCTTTGGTAATAATGTCTTAAGATAACTCAATTTAGGCGGAGATCCTTTCAAATCCAAATGTACTACAACATTATCCAACTTCAATTGCTTTATGTTGCGTATCGCATTTTTGTTTGATATCTTATGTTGAAACAAAGTAAACGATGAGATCATGTAGAATATTATGACCACAATAATCAGAGTAAAGAACTTCGACTTCAACGACATGCCCTTAGGACAAAATGGTAACGGCATTTTAATCTTATTTAAAATATCACTATTTTACTACTGTCAGATAGATTTTTGACAGTTTGAATAGTGAAATGAGCTTCGTAGTACAAATTGAACCTACTTTAAGTGAATTTTTGAATATCCAGCCTTTTTAGGTTAATCTTTAAAAAATATGTTCTGGAAAAATCACTCGACACTAACACTAACACGTGCGCTACTACAATTTTTAGAAGCACACTGAATATATTTTTCTCATCGTCTTTGCGTTTGTAAGGCTTCCTTCTTTTAATGATTTTTCATTATGTAAATTTCAAAGAAATATACAGTGTATTTTATATCTACATATATCATTGCAATATTACTAGTACAATTAATTATTTTATTAACTAGTCTGTTCCTGAAGTCCTGGGATCGAGTCCCGCGTCGGTCTCAATCTATTAAATTTCTGTCTGTTTAACCCTTAATAGAATCATATTCTAATTCTAAAGAAGCAATCCCGGCTTAATAAAGCCGCCCGATCCTACGTCTCATCTATTACCGGTCATTCCCGATTAAAGAGATTAGAGAGACTACAATAAACAGAAAGTGCATTTATGTTAGCGCCCACTTTTTATTACTGCATAAACACCCTCATTTTTGTATTACCGTTTAAACGTATCGCGTGCTATTGGCCGCGTGATTTAAAAATCTTGGTAATATTGTCCTATATTCGTTGTATAAATATGGCAGTTTTACTGCCATCATTATAAGCATTCATCGGATAATGCTATCGCGCTAGCGTTGCTCCTTACAAAACTAAAACAATTACTACAATTCGGACCGGGACCGAGAAATTCCGACAGGATATATTATGTAGATAAAATTATTATTTCTTAATAAAAAATATAGATAAAACCATTGTTTCTTAGTCTCCTGTTGTGTGGATAATTTTTTTTCATTATTAACTTTAGAAGGACTTACGCGAAAAAATTGCACATTGGTTTTGCTTTCATTTTTCACGGTAACTAAAAAGTTTTTTTTATTTATGAAATTTTGTAATGTTGATATTAAATAGGATTTAATAAAAAATATGCTTCAGCATCAGCGAGGACACTTTGTATAGGATAAGCGAACGTTTATTAGAAAAGCTGAAAACGGATGTTTTAATGATGAGTCTTTTTATTATCTGTGTAAATAAAAATTAAACAAAGATATTAAAATTATTCCTCACTATTTTCTATAACGGAATATAAAGTGCTAAAAGCCACAAGACACTTTTTCTTTTTTGTTTTCAACAACTTTTCAAAATTTTATCGACTATACAATAGTAAACTTTTATGCGGGTATTTCATTATCATTTAATCTATCATGCAATTGTATTTTAATAAAATAAATATAATAATTTACAATTTAAAACAAATTGTAATAAAACTAGCTACCCTCTCGTTATTCAGGTGCGTCCCCACGGTGCATAATCGTAGCCATTGCGTTATTCCGGGTCCAGGTCATGGTCTATCTGTACTTTTCATTTAAATCCGTCCTATTCGTTTCACCAAGAAGGTACTCCTTCATGCTATGTATGTATTCTATGTCATTTTTTTAAGGTCCCACTCTAGGGCACGGGCCTCTTTTCTCAAGATGTTTTTCTTTACCGTAAGATAAGTAAAAATCATGTTGGAAATGATTAGCACATGAAAATATCAGAGGTTCGAGACCCGGGATTGGAACCCGCTTCACTCGGTTTCCCAAGCGAACGTGTTATCACTGAGCTATCACTGCCTCTATCATGCTATAACGGATACACAAATACACAGACACATACAAGCTTTCTTGATTATAGTAGTTGCCCTATAAATACGATTTGTATCGAAAACAATACATTTCGAGTCACTATACAGTATACGTGGGTGGCGAATCCAATGCTTATAAAGCATTTGAAACATACAACATGTTGTTGTACCCATAAACACTTTACGACCGCTTCTGTATAAGTCTTTGTTATGTTTAGGACACTTTGTGTTGAGGAAATGAAGACTTATCGTTAGTATACATATAGTAGAGAAGGCGCCAAAGTAAAATTCTGGGATTTCAGACCAAATTAATACAAATATGTATTTGTATTGCATGAGTTACTCTCAAATTCATTTGTAAAATAATTAAATTCCAAATAATTCATGTAACATAGCAACCGCCGTATAATAATAATAATAAAATCATTAATTACTTACTAATTGGCTACAGTTTTGCGCATATTTTACTAATTACTTTATAACTAATTTATTTTTATAAAACATTAGCGACTCGCCCTCGCTTCGCTCGGGTTCATCCCTAGGTACGTTTTAACGATTAGTATAGAATAAAAAGACTATAGAAAATAATCCGAAGTAGAATTCCCATATAAAATAACCAGTTCTGAACTTTTCGATTTTCCAGCTGTTCTTATGGGTTTTTCCTAAAAAAAATTATATTTAAACCATCCCTAATATACCTCCAACAAAACAAAAAAAGAATTATTTAAATCGGTTCAGCTGTTTTTGAGTTTTAGCGAGATTAACGAACAGAAATTGTATATATATATATATATATATATATATATATATATATATATATATATATATAATATCTCAATAAATGAAAAATCACAGTAAAATTACAAATTACAATTTTTTATAATAACAGTTTTTAACGTAGTTTATCTAATAACACTTGTAACTTGTAACAAATGGGTAATCAAAGGAGTGTGATGCCAATGCCAGATAGCACATGATAGTGATACTGTGCGTGATGGAATAAGCAAATGAAACAGTGCGTCAATGATCAATAAAAATCTGCCAATATCGCCAAGACACATTCCATACAGCACTAAAACTTTTGCCCCATACGGTAATCGAAGTAGCATCCAACTTAAAAGTGCCAGTGCCCTGTATGGTACAAGTGTTTAATGTTTATTTGAAAACACCTAGATACGGATGTTAGGTCTGTAGGAAACAAAATATAAGAAAGTAGTTTCTCTTGTAACAGCTTGTAACTTGTAATAAAGTCGAAATATCGGGAACTCTCAAAAGTAAGTGATAATCATGATAAATATCTTAATAACATTAATTACTTGCGTCTCACCCTCGCTCCGTTCGAGCTCGCCCCTAGTTATTTAAAAAATGGGGGGTGGGGGTAGGAAGGTGAAAAATACTTTTCAACCTATTCTAATTTCTGCCAAATATACAAAAAAAAAAACATTAAAATCGGTCGAGCCGTTTCGGAGGAATGTGACCACAAACACCGTGACACAAGGTATTTATATATTAGAATATCAAGTCTGGGAAGATAGGTACATACCTTCCCTATTACTAAATTGACTATCTTTTGCTCGTGGCTCCGCTTGCGTATTTGTATATGTCTCACTCTCCTCTCAAAAGTTTTAACGTCTAGATAGCTTTTTTTTTTTAACGTTGGGAAATACATTTACGCACGACGTGTGGGACTCACCGGCGTAAATGCATTTCCCAACGTTAAAAAAAAAGCTATCTAGACGGCAGGTCTGCCAAAGCAGACCACCACAACCATGGGGTTGCTCCAAGGTCCACTCTGCTATCAGAGAAGTACCAGGAGCAACCCGCAAGGTACACCGCCCCCCGAAGAGGGCCACCTCCCACCGCCCAACGAAGTGGGCAACCTCCCTGTGCGTTTCTTAGCTTCGCGCCCGGTTGGATTACCGGGCACTACTGAGCCCGGGGGGGTGTGTGTGAGTGGTGGGGACCACGACAAGGTGAACGCACGTTGGAGGGGAACGTCTAGATAGCCTAGCCTGTCCCAATAACTAGACTTTAAAATTAAAAGAAGATTTTTCAATCAGCCTATGAGTTGCAAAGCTGCGTTGAAATAAACAAAAACTATGGTTGTAATTAATAATTATAAGCACATTAAATAAAAAAAAAAGATTTGTATATAATTATAAAATCTTTATTAGATTTTGTAAGTTGTCACCTTGAGTTAAAAAAAGAGAGGGAGCGTTGTTTTTGTTTTATGAATAATGAGCAAACTTCTTTATTAGTTTTCATAATCTTGTTTATGGCGTTACTTTGTAGAAAAAATTCAAACTCCACCATAGTATAGAATATATTATATCCCATCAAAAAAAAATGTGAAAATGGGAACCAAGTTCAATATTAAGAATAAGCGTGGTTGTCAACTTCACTGACAAAAATATTGAGATCTAAATGGGTGCCAAGTTCTGTAGATAATCCTGAATCTATTTCATAAGTATACACAATATTCTAAAATAAATTTAAAACACAATTTCTTGTTTTTTTCTGCTATAAAGTTGTTTGTTATTTAAAAAATAGAACTTCTTAAATTTTAACAGTCGAATTATTTACGCAGAGTAGATAGCTTAGGAGAAATTGAAGTTCAAGATTTGACTTGGCTAGTTTTTACTAGTAAAGCAAGTTTTTAGAAGAGTGAGACATGTTGACCTTACAATATAAAAACAGTAATTTGCGTATAGCATAAAGGAGATATAAGTGATTAGCCGAATATAAGATAACTTGTATGTAAAAACCATGTCAAATCTTGAACTTGAATTTCTAAATTTACCTTAGATTTCATACAAATTTTCATCCCCCTTCTTTACTCCCTTATGCGATGAATTTCGAAAAATGCTAAAACACGTATTAATTTATTTGTATTGAAGAGCATTAATAAGGACAAATAAACACACTTTCACATTTATAATATTAGTATGGATATGAATGTTTGGTTCCGACGTTTCATTTAAAATGTATTTATGAGTAACCTTATGACTAAGTGAGGTCTGGGAGACGGTAAGTATATCAAGAAAAATCAAGACCAACAATTTATCTAGATACTAGTGACTCACCCTCGCTTCGCTCGTGTTCGTCCCAACGTACGTTTTAAATTAAAATGGATATAGTATGTTATCCTTAAGAGATAGACATATGCCATCGCGTACTTTTCTGTAGACCTATATAAGATACAAAATTCCACCATACATTATTTTGTTATATCTTACAGGGTTTAGACAGTGTTTT